GGCAAGTTAAGATATGATAGGATGGAAGAGAAGATAGAAGAGGATAGGACGAGTCCGGGCAAATTTAGGATAGGATTTGCTCAAAAATATTCTCATAAATTTGTATGTCGGCATATCTGCCGCATTGTAACACAGAACTACACATTTGATGTTTTCATTGATATTGCTTACATCTCTACCTTAATCATATTCTTAATTTATACCTTGAATACTTCTTCTATTTTATAATTTCCAAAAATGTTTTGTTATTGAGATTTTTATGTAGCAACGCGTTTTTTTTGTAGGTTCTGAACTTAAGAACACCGGAAAATAACTTATGACTTCTATTTCCTCGAGGATATTGTTTGGTACAAAATATTTCTTGTGCCTAGATATTGTGAACTTGTAAACAATCAACTAGTAATTCACTCAACTGATCCTAGGACACTGAGAGTCTTCACTATCAATTTCGTCTAAGAAATAATTTCAGAATGTTTGTTGTGGAAGTTCTTTACTTTAAAATGATAAGTCTCTATGTAACACATCCTCTATCAAGAGCTTTAAGAACGTTGCCTCTTTCGGCATTGTTATCGCTACTCCTTCCTATCGTTAACCTTCCTGGTTCAACCTTGAATACTTAGTTAATTAGTAAGAAATAACTACTGTGTGGAAATAATTAAAGGAATCAGACAGTATAATACTCCTAAGATTTTATTGATGGGAGAGAAAGATTAGATACGATAAGATAAGGAGTCGTTAAAGACCCTATTCACTCAGGTCAACGAAATATTTTTACTCTCGAGTAGCACACAATATTTTATTCGTATTTATTATTTTACTAGCACCACTACGAGTAAGACGAAAGCGAGAAAGTTAAAATGGCACACTTAATATAATCGTGTATGCTGTATATTCGTGCACACTTAAAATATTTGTGTGCCACTCACACACATGAATGTAACACGCATTTAATTTATTTAGTGATAGTTTTTGTCAATGAGATTCACACAAATTGACTCGCAGTGATGTATAAAAATTTAGTTAGACATGAAATAAAATGTTCTACCGAGAACTAAATTCACTAGATATTGAAGTGTGGTTTGACAAAAACAACGATGAACGACGATAAATGATGATTGGCCTAGCTAGAATTGTTTCGTTTAATAATTGCGCTGTTAAAGTTGTTTTCATTATTGTTGAATGAGAGGTAATAGCAAATGTGCGTTGTCTTTGAATGAGGGACGGAGGGAGGTTGCAATATCGAGTCAAAGACGTAATGTGGCGTTCTACGTTACATCAACGAGGAGAAAAGCCGTTTTTATTCTTCAAGAGGGCGATTTCTCTTCGCAGAAAGGTTTTGTGAATAATTTAACGAGTGGTTGAGAAGCTTGGTAGGATAATAGGATCATTCGACACGAGGTTTCTCAGATGATATTTTTTTACACATTTCCTCGCCAGAACGGCAAATCTAACGACGCAAGTAATGCGGGGTCAAATATAATAACGTTAGGCCCAATTTCTGTCTGTTAAGTTTCCTGGGGCTTCTTCGACCAACTCCAGGTGTATGCTGGAGCAATACCCTAACAAAGGAAACTGCACGCGATCTTTCCTTCCTCTTCTTTGTTCTATTCTCATCCCTTACATACACACTTACATGCACTACACTATCACACATGTAGGAAGGTCGGTCGAGAACTTAGAGCTTTTCTTGGTTGGGACAGTGCTCCGCTGTTGGATGTTCTTTTTTGAGAAAATCCCTGCAAGTCGACGTGATCGGCACCGGATTTCGTCATCGATCAGGAGACAATCTCCGCCAGTTTCTCACTGACTCACACATATCCGCCTTCGCCCGCTCCCGCGGCCTACTCACACGTCCACGGACACGCTGTCTCTCACGTTCTCTCATTCGCTCTTGTGATTTCTCTCTTTCTGTCTCTCTCTCATTCTCTCTCTCACTCTCTCTCATTCTCTCTCATTCTCTCCCACACTCTCTCTCACTCTCTCAATTTCTATTACTCTCACTCTCTCTGTCACTCTCTCTCTTACTCTCACACTCTCTGTCACTGTATCTCTTTAACTGTCTGCCTCTCCTTTTCCCTCTCATTCTCATTTAGTTGCAGATTCAACACGTCTCTGCGCAGGGGAGTAATATTGAGAAGCACCGGACCAGCAAAATTGCAATAGAATGCTCAAAACGTCTCATCCTGAAGATTAGGGTCTTCCTGTAGATTCTTAAACATTTTATTATATTTTGAAATGTTTTTATAAAATTTAATTAAAAACCCATTTAATTTAACATTTTAAACCATTAAGACAAATTGTCTCATTCCCTCTCTTCCCCTCACACGTTATCCCTGTCACTTATTCTCTCCCTCTTTCTAGCTCCCGCGCTCTTTCTTTTTCCTTCGCTCTCTTTCTCTCCCTATATATGTCTCTCCTTTGCTCCCTCCCTCCTTCTCTCTCCCCCTCTCTCCCCCTCTCTCTTCATCCTCTCTATCTCCCTCTCTCCTTCTTCCTCCCTCCCTCTCTCCCTACCCTGCTCTCTCTATATCACCTCCGCTCTATCCCTCTCTATTTCCCCTCGTAATTTCTCCGTCTCCCTCCCTCTCCTACTCTCTGTGCTCCTCCTTGCTCGCTCTCGCTCTCTGCGGGCGGTGTGGCGACGCGGTGGCGGGCTGGGCCTGAGGGGAACGGGCAGCCTCAAATGAAAGTATCGTATATTTTGTTTGCCCAGGCAACTCCATTTGGAGTTCATTTAAATAAGTGTTTCCTGCGTTCGCTCTTGCCTTTGCGAGGGGAAGAAAGATTTGCATAGTTGGGGGGGGGGGGACTAGCTACGCCCCCCAAACTTCTCACCCCGTGGGGAACGGAAACTAAAATTGCTATGTTACTTCCGGCTATGGCATATGTTTACAATTCTTCTTGGCGAGGGGCCACGCGTAACGAATCATTTTACAGACACTCCCGAGAATTAACCCCAATCATTGGGTAAACCCTCACAATACAGTAGTGGCCTCAAGTGGGTTGGTTCTGAACATAAAATTCGTTAATGCTATGGTTTTACTCATGATTTGAATGTTAGTTAGATACTACTGTATCAGCAACAGTTCTGATGAACAACACCGAACAAACGTTTTATCACGCACACACAAAAGTACCATTCTCAGTGCTTAAGGACAACAAATAAAATATTCCAGTAAAACAGCGCAATAAGTTAAATATTTTAACAAAAACTGTCTTCACGAGTGCTGTAATAACATAGTTTAAAGAAGATCAGTTTTTATCATACTCATAATATCAAAAAAATTCGTTAACGTTCCTCGCGAATAGCAAATATTGAATGGCAAGTGGTCTCGTCTATCGAGCTTTCCTGCCGCGTGACGAAAGTGAGGCAGTGACGCACTGAGAAATCAGTTGATACACACGTTTCATTGATTCCGAGCGCGTCAACTACTAAGGTCATTAGTTCCGTAAGTGGCGTGCATGTTTAATCTTCGGGAGATGGCGGTGGCCTTTCCCCGATGGATGGCGAGATCCGTTGCAGACCTACCATTCGCTAGCGGGGTTTTCCCAAACCGGGTATCTCCCACCAGCGTGGCACTGCCCCTGCCAGGGCAAGGTCTAAGCTCTCGACCGATCTCTCGACATGTGCAGGAGTGTAGGACATATTAGTGTAAGAGTGTGTAAGACTAGAATTATCCTTCAGACACCGACAGCATTCGACCATGCTGACAAGGTAGTGTCGATAATACTGTTACCGTCGGAACTCGAGCCTAAGACCTGCCGTTTAAAGGGACTGCAGTGACATCAGTCGATGCCCCGGTTCATCTCTCTCCGTTAATGGGATGTGAATAGTCACAATAACTCAATTTAAACCGGTTCATTGCTTTTTTCGTGTTTCTGGGTACCTAACGAAATAATTGACCGAGCATGTAAAGCAAGCAAAGTAACTAGCTTACGGAGAGATCTCAGGCACTGCGTCCAAAAAAACTGTCGCGACATTTAAATGTAAGGGTGGTACAAATTGTTCCAGAGAGGCGTTAAGTCACTGAATACTTGGCTGATGAATCTCTTGTAGATGTCAGTTCACAGTTATTGTCTCAAATTCAGATACACAAAATCTCATTTTTCTTTAATACAGGAAACAAATTATCCATTAAAATGTAATAATACATCAGTAGTTGTCAAATTGTCAATTGAAAGTAAAATCAAATATTTTGAATGAAATATTGAGTCACATATTGAGTTTGTAATCGTGTTGACCTATGAATTGATGAATGAATTGATACCTATGAATAATTGTATTAACTTCTCACGTTCAGGATACGAGGTTCAGTAGACAAAGATTCTTGTCTTAAAAAAGTTACTAAAATATTTCTCAGTATTGCAAAATACAACAAATAACTGGAACATTTAATAACACATAACACAAATCGAAAAAAGGAATAAAATCGTCATTCAAGCATATTACTCCCCGTTATCAAAAATGTGTATACTAGGCTATACGAATTTCGAAAGAAAATAAAACATGAAATAGTAATAAACAGTAAAGTTTATGTTCATACTTCACACATTGTATAATCAAGTCTCGGTGATTCGTGAGGACAAACCTGGCAAACTAATTTTGTTATGCAGCCACTCTTCTGGCCTCCGCCCCTTCAGATTGCACGTGTCCCCCCCCCTTTCCGAATTTGGAGGGGAAGTGAGAGCGGAGTCAGGGGAAGTTGCCCGCGCTCGCAGGTGCGCCGGGCTCCCCAGGCGGGCAAGTAGCTCTTTCAGTTGACATCCCTGCAGACACTCCTCACATGGCCGCAGGTGACAAAGTTTTCTTTCAAATTCGCACGCAAATTAGTTATTAGATTGCAGATTGAGTCTATTGGCGGTAAGCTATTAGAAATTGAAGAATCGATGTCAAATTTCTTAAAAGTATTTTCTAACTCGAAATGTTGGCTACTTCTTAAGTCGTATCAAAGAACCTTTGCTCTCCAACAAATATTGCATTTTATTGGCGAATTTCTGGAATGAAAGGATTTGGATGCGATTCGAAAACAGGTCTTCTGCAAAAATACTATAGAGAAGAAGAAGAAGAAGAAGAAGAAGAAGAAGAAGAAGAAGAAGAAAAAGAAGAAGAAGTGTTAAATTACTGAAAGAGAAAGACTCATAAGAAAAGCAGAAGCATATAGCTTTAACGGTAGTAAGACTATGAAAGACCAGGAACGCAATTATCTACCTAATGTCTTCAATGTCTTCAAGTAAATTGACTATCTTTCGTAAATATAACATATTACATATAAATTCCTTGTTTTTCCGTTTTCTGTTTCATTTTAATTTTTGAGGAATTGGTATACAAAATAGGATTTAAAATAAATTCTGTATGACTTTTCTTATTTTTAGGCTTTCTAAGAATTCCACTAAACTATTCAATATTTTCGTGCTATTTATCACATTTAACTGGATATTTTTGTCAATGTATCAACGCTTGAATTTAACTTCATTATACTGAACAAAATTTAAATAAGAACTTCATTTAATTGCCCCGTAGTACAAATAAAGGATTAACCAATATTATTATGTATTTCCTTGTGACTGCTACAAAAGTAAAAGAGTGAAAAGGCATATCACATTCCATTCCTAGCAAATGAGACAATGCATTAACAGCATGATTTAAATTATAATTTTTCTGTTGAAGTCGTTTCCAATTTATTACAGCAAACTCGGAAGTAATATTCATTTACCTTTCCACATCGCGTGGTCAAAATACCATGTTACTCTACGTAATAAAAATTAATGGAATGTTTCTTCATTTTCATCCATTGTAGTTTTCGAGGGATGACAAGGAAAATAAGATCATAGCGAAACAACCCAACTGTTCCAAACTTCAGTGCCATTTATTTCGCGAGTCTGTTCGGTGGCCACTTTTTCCAGAGGGTTAAGACAAGATATACGACGTAATCTCGTTGCAGCCGTTAATTTTCCCAACTATTAAGGTCATAAATTTTTGGAGGGGAGAATAAGATTTCGCGCCGCTGAAAAATCCAGTCCCTGAGGCGTGACGAATGCGTCGGCGAACCTTGGTTCCGTCCCCTCTGCACAGCGCCTTCCCTCCTGGAGGCTTCTCAAATGCTCCTCTCCAGTGGCTATTGCTGGAGGCCCTTCACTAACGTCCTTCAAAAAATAGCAGTAAAAGCTGAATAGAAACGGAGATATTGTCTCAAAGTTTTGAAATTGCAAAGTTCGTTGCACATTTCCCATTGTTTGCTGAACCGAAGGGGCAGTTGGGTTGAATTTCCGCCCCTCAACCCCCAAATCGAACCAGTAGGTTTAAGAATTGCAAACTTATAAATGGGTTAACTCAAATACCAAACAATGGTAAATAATTCCACTAATAGTTTATTCCTAATCCAAGTGCAATTGCGGAGTAGTCATCAAATAATTATAAATGAATAAGTTATCTAATATTCAACAATTGAGGTGTTTCTTACAGCAACCAAACAAGTCCAAAATTCCATATTACGAGATAATATACGAAACTCTGCCTACAACTGGCGCCATCTGCTGGGACATTTCCTTTTGGCAAGTGTCAAACATATTGTGGCAGGGAAACATGCACATAGGTGGAGAAAAATCATAAATTCTCATTTCTAAGCACGTCTACGCTAAGAGATATTTGGGACCTGAAAAATCTCGAGTTTGGTTTTTGTAAGAAACCCTTCAATTAAATTCTTTAAATCGTAAGAACAAGCCACCATACAAAACTATAGAATATGGAATTTGTAAGTAATACAAAAGCAACACGACTAATTAGTACGAGCACTTGTTATTTTTCTTAACACCACACAACATTTCGCAAGCACATCCGCGTTAACAGTGGCACAGCGGTAGTGGTTATTTGTGCTCTCCGTATGGCGGTCTCTCCGCCATGGCATTAACCTGGCGTTTCAATGTGCACGGCAAAAGCAAATTCACTACAATTATTCATTTCTTTGAATTGTTGACGTGTTAGTAGTACTGCATAGCGCTGTATTCAGTAAGGCAGAGAAAATATATAAAGTTAGCGGAATAACCATGTGCCTTCGACATAATTTTACTTTCATTGAAGTTATTTCTTTGAAAGTAATATAAAGTATTTTAATATAAATCTGAATACTTTCTTAACCGCTTCTATATATGTAAGTGTGTTTCATATTAGTCTGCAGCCTGAGTAATAAATCACTATCAGTGTGGATATTAAGAACTAGTAGTGCTTCAACAGCGCGTACCGAACCTACTACGTAGGCATCAGTAATGGTTACGTAAATTATAATACAGTAATTTATGTGCATATTAACACGTCTCAGTTGTTACTAAAATGTATTTATTAATTTAAATGTATTACATAAAAACAAATTCGACAATTCAAAACTACTTTTCATACACTCGGAAACACCGCCTAACAATGTGAAGTTATTCTGAGAATTTCAAGCTGACTTGTCGCTGTGTTCCCTTTGTATTACAACGTGATATCACTTGAACAATTCAGGCAAAGAAGTGCAGTAAATTCTAACTCGCAAATTCCAAAATTTGCAAAAATACACTTAACTGCACATATTTCCAAAATAATTGTTCAAGACTTTTTTAAATCACTGCCTTTTGGACCAGATTTGTTTAGCAAAAAGGTTTTTTGTATGCTAGCATTGTAAACGATCTTTTCTGTTCGTTCGTACACTCGCCCAATCGCAGCGAGAGAATCGAGGGGAGGTAAAGGTGAATGGAACAGCCCACCATCGTTTTCTCGCACAGATGTCAAATACGCGATGCGCCACATGAAAGATCTTTCGCGAAATTCAGTTTGATTCTCTTATAAATTTATAAAGCTGTTATTAAAAAAATAACTTACGCAAGTTGTTTATAATTTTTGTTATGCCACCAGGTTGTATACCTACCTGCAGAAATAATAAATCTATCTATAATGTTGCTTTATTGCATTCGTACCAATTGGAAAACACATTCCTAACGTCGTTCGTATTCAATACATGTACTCATCCAATAAAGGTTAACATTATAAACTATTTGCAGAAACTACCATTCTATCATTAATATTGTGCTTTTGCAATGTGCGTCATTTGCAATTTTCGAAAATACAGAGTTCTTCAAAAATGTGACCAGCACCGATTTCTTTACCGTTCTTTGCTACATATGAAGTAAAATTTGAAAAGAAATTGAATCCGTTTTTTGAGAAAATAATTTTTACTTCGACATTTATAACTATTTGTGTCAATATATCAGCTTAGATACTTATTAAAAAATGTGTTTTTTTCTAAAGTACATTGTTGCCATAGATCAAGGGACGTATGTTAATGAATTATGTTGAAATTGCTAGTAATCTGATCACAATTACTTTTACATTTTAAAATTTCTCAACAAGAGAGAAGAAAGGTTGTATGCTCTCAATTTATTTTATTTTCATCTACAGTTTTACCTATTCATCAAATAAGATAGATAAATTTGTAACAAGTTAATAACTTCATGCTAGTTTTGTCATTGGCAGAAAAATGTTAATTTTGATTTTCTCTTCGGCTTATTTCAATAGAGAATAAGAGCTCTTATAGGTATAGCACAGTTCTCTTGTGTCCTCATTGAAATATTGTTTGCCAAGGGAGTTGATGCCCAAGGGGGTTGTTTTGTACCTTTATATGAATAAACGTTGTCAGTAAACTTTAGAATTTAAAATATACGTTTCTTTTCTTGTTCTCAAGCTAGAATAAAGTTTTCAAAGGCGATTATTGCCTATTTTGTTTAGGACGCAGGCTAGATTGTTGAGAAGGTTCAAGGTAAAACGTGGTCAACAAATATAAGTTTCTTTTTGTTTATTCCATATTTAGAAAATTGAATGAAACTTTCTCTACAGTTTTAATTATCAAACATAATATAAATATTTTGAAAAATATGTCTTTTTAGGTTATTGGAGGATAGTTTACTCGAAAGAAAACAAGAAATTGAAATACAACATTAGTGTGATACATTTTATTGAAAACGAATACATTTTATTGAAACCCTTCGCGAGTTAAGAAATTAACTTATCAGACACGTCAGCAAATCTCAAATAGTTGGGAAGCTACCGGAATCTCGCTGTGGCCATCTTGCGTATTCGCCCCTGTCTCATTGCCAGCCCTCGTGGTACGCTCGCCCGCCTCCCGCCCGCCCTTCCGCAGCCTCGGCGCCCCGTTTCGAAGGAAACTCCCCCTGGGACGGCGTAGACGGTGATGAAGGCTGCGAGTTAAAAGCTTTAAATTAGGATAAAAACATTTCCCCGCCAAGTTTTCAGGGAGACGGTACACGAACCAACTTTGCGATAATCCTCTGATTACTGTTGCGAGTTGCCTCATAGGCTGGACGGGCTCAAAGCCGGGGGGGGGGGGTATGATTAGCGCGATTAAATGTTAGCGAGAGCCCGTAGGGCGGGGCGGGGCGGGGCGGGGCGGGGGGGGCGGGGCGGAGGGGGGGGCGGGGCGGAGGGGGGGGGCGGGGAATGCCGAAAACTCCATTAGGGATTTGAGGGATCCGCCATCCCTGCCGCCCCTCGCCCTGCCACGCTGCGCCCGGCGGCGCGCGTCAATAGCCGTCCGCGAATCGCCCCCGCGGATATGCTAATTGTCCTGAAACCGCCACAGGCGCCGTCTCGAAAGCGACTTGAAGTCCGAACTAGAAACCGCGGAAGCAGTGGCGTACAGAGTGTGTTTGTGTGTGTGAGTGAGTGAGTGAGAGAGGGAGAGAGGGAGAGAGATAATGACAGTGTGAGAGAGTATGAAAGGGAGAATGATAGTATGAGAGAGAGAATGATAGTTATGAGAGAGAGAATGATAGTTATGAGAGAGAGAATGATAGTATGAGAGAGAATGATAGTATGAGAGGGAGAGAATGATAGTATGAGAGAGAGAGAATGATAGTATGAGAGAGAGAGACTGATAGTATGAGAGAGAGACTGATAGTATGAGAGAGAGAGAATGATACTATGAGAGAGAATGAGAGTATGAGAAAGAGAATGAGAGTGTGAGAAAGAGAATGAGAGTGTGAGAGAGAGAATGAGAGTGTGAGAGAGAGAATGAGAGTATGAGAGAGAGAATGAGAGTATGAGAGAGAATGAGAGTATGAG